CTCCCGTCCCTGCCTCTGCCCATCCCTGCCTCTGCCCTCCGCATGTCAACCATTTCGGCACAACCCTCACACGGTTCGTGGCCCCAAAGGGAGCTCCATCGAAGGTCTCAGTGGCAGGGTTCGCATGGCGGCCTCGAGACATCTCGGCACACCCCTCACGAGGATCGTGGCCGCATACCGAAGGCCCCAGCGGCAGGGTCCGCATGGCGGTCTCGGGCCATCTCGGCACACACCTCACGAGGATCGTTGCTCCAGAAGGTTATGATGTTCCAACCGGCTTTAGCCTCGATCACCAGAAATTCGCCGGCCCAACGGGCCAAAGGCGTGCTAAGATCTCCGGTAGCTACTTAACAATATTTCTAGTTCGCGCGCGCGGGGCGGCCCCTGGGGGCCCCCTGACGAAAAATACCCTGGCTGGTCCCCGGCCGGGTCCCGGGCGATCCCCAGGGGGGACGCTATTTTTCGACACCCCTCACGAGGATCGTGGCCTCCGAGGGGGCGGCTGCAATCGACTACCCCCCCTCCCGCCCCAAGGAGCCCCCAAGAGCCCCCCGAGAGGCCCCAGGGGAGCCCAAGACGCCGCCGAGGAGCCCCAAGACTCTCCAAAGAAGCCCCCAAGAGGCCCCCAAGACGGCCCCAAGAGGCCCCAAATAGTGCTCCAGGGCCAGCGGAATGAGCGAAGCGATTAAATAATTTCGAGCACCAAGAAAGTACCGAAACTGGAGGGTTTTCACGTGTCGGGCCCTGGGAGGCAATACCCGTTCGACACTGACGATACTTTTCTGGGTGCTCCATATTATTTCTGGGATGTGGCCCTTAAGTGCGATGGTAACAACATAACCATAAGGAGCTCCACCGAAGGCCCCAGCGGCAGGGTTCGCATGGCGGCCTCGGGCCATCTCGGCACACCCCTCACGAGGATCGTAGCCCCATGGGGCGCTCCACTGAAGGCCCCAGTGGCAGGGTTCGCATGGCGGCCTCGAGACATCTCGGCACACCACTCACGAGGATCGTGGCCCCATAGGGAACTTCACCGAAGGCCCCAGTGGCAAGGTTCGCATGGCGGCCTCGGGCGATGTCGGCACACCCCTCACACGCTTCGTGGCCATATAGGGAGCTCTGAACGAAGGCCCCAGTGGCAGCGCCCGCATGCATTCACCGCTCATGTCGGCACACCCCACGCACGTCTCGGAGTTCCCATCCGCGTTGCCCCGTGTTCCATCCCTCTCGCGGCGCGCTACTAATGGTCGGGTCCTTCGCCAGGCTAATTCAGACCTCTGGGGGCCTCTGGAGACCTGACGGCGGTCCCGAAACGGCGCTGTGAGAGCCCGCGCGGTGACCTCGAAGTCCCGAAGGACTTCACCGCACGGTCCGTCACCGCACGGCTCAGGGACCTCGGAGGCCCCAAGCGCCCGAGACGTCCTCGGAGAACGACCCAAGCCCCAAAAGCGTGCTGCGACTCCGCATCCCCACGGACTCTCACCACGCGGCGCGGGCGCCGCACCACCTTGAGGCCCCCGATGGACGCCTTCTGCCCAACTCAGCCCTCCAGGGGGTCCCTGGTCCTCCTCCTCCTCCTGCTCCTCCTCCTCCTCCTCCTCCGCCTCCTCCTCCTCCTCCTCCTCCTCCTCCTCCTCCTCCTCCTCCTCCTCCTCCTCCTCCTCCTCCTCCTCCCCCCCCTCCTCCTCCTCCTGGAGACCTCGGAGGCCTCTGGGAAACCTCCGGGGACCGCCAGGGGAGGAGAAAGGAGAGGGACCCGCGGCGCGCCCGAGGCGGAGTGACGAGGAGCAGGCCTCTCCAAGGCGGCTGGGCTTCTCAGAGCCCTCGCGCCTCCTGAGAAGTGTTGTGTGTTTTCGAGGAAGGCTTGGGACAACTTCTCAGAAGGCCCGAGACCTTCCGAGCCTTCCGAGAGGGTCCGCCCCTTCTCGCTGCCCCCCCCCCCCAGGCTCGCCGCCGAGGGGAGGAGCAGCATCGGGAGGGCGAGCCAGGGGAAGACCAGGACGAGGAGCAGCAGCAGCGGGAGCAGGGAGGCGGGAGAGTCGGGGAGACGTAAGGCTCGGGTACGGGGGACGCGAGTTGCCCTGACGAGGCCGCCAATAAAAAGACGAGACCCAAACTCCTGCTGCAAACATCCCACGAAAACCGAACCGTCAGAACCCAGAGCAGGCTCGTCAAAAAACGTAGGCGAACCCGAGTTCCGGCGTGCTCCCCCTCCTTGATATCATGATCCTCCTCCTCCTCCTCCTCCTCCTCCTCCTCCTCCTCCTCCTCCTCCGCCTCCTCCCTCCTCCTCCTCCTCCCTCCTCCTCCTCCTCCTCCTCCTCCTCCTCCTCCTCCTCCTTTCTCCTCCTCCTCCTCCTCGACCCTCCTCCTCCTCAGCAGCAGCCAGCAGCATCATCATCATCATCCTCCTCCTCCCTCCTCCTCCTCCTCCTCCTCCTCCTCCTCCTCATCATCATCATCATCATCATCATCATCATCATCATCATCATCATCATCATCATCATCATCATCATCCTCATCCTCATCCATCATCCTCATCCTCATCCTCATCCTCATCCTCATCCTCATCATCATCATCCTACACCTCCCCCTCCTCCTCCTGCTCCTCTTGCTCCTCCTCCTCCTCCTCATCATCATGTTCCTCCTCATCATCATCATCATAGCATCATCATCTGCAGCAGCAGCATCAGCATCATCAGCAGCAGCAGTATTGTCATCATCATCATCATCATCAGCATCATCAGCATCCTCAGCATCATCAGCATCATCAGCATCATCAGCATCATCAGCAGCATCATCATCATCATCATCGACAGCATCAGCAGCCGCATCCGCATCAGCATCAGCATCATCATCCTCATCCTCATCCTCATCATCATCCTCATCATCAGCATCGTCGTCATCATCCTCATCAACGTCATCCTCATCATCAGCAGCAGCATCAGCATCATCATCTTCATCATCAGCATCAGCATCAGCAGCATCATCCTCATACTTCTCCTCGTCATCATCATCAGCATCATCTGCATCATCATCAACAGCATCACCCTCCTCAATTCCTTCTCCTTCTAGATAACTCCTCCCTGTCGCACTCCGAGGCTAGTTGTTAGGGCGGGCCGGGCGTTCGCTTGAGACTTCCTCACCGTGTATGACTCTGAAGCGTAAAAAGTGGCAACAGCTTCGCAGATGGAGGGCGGGTCGCTTTCAAAATGTGGCTCTCGCCTCAGCGCCGCGCACATTCGTTTCAAAAATTTGCAAGTGCTTCACGGATTGAGGGCGGGTCGTTTTCAAAATGTAGCTCTCGCCCTAGCGCCGCGCACACTCGTCTTAAGAATTTGCAAGGAGCCTCACGGATTGAGGGCGGGTCGTTTTCAAACTGTGGCTCTCGCCTCAGCGCCGCGCACATTCGTTTGCGAAAAGATGCAAGAGTTTCACGGACTGAGGGCGGGTCGTTTTCAAAATGTGGCTCTCGCCTTAGCGCCGCGCACATTCGTTTAAACTTTGCAAGAGTTTCACGGATTGATGGCGGTTCCTTTTCAAAATGTGGCTCTCGCTTTAGCGCCGCGCACATTCGTTTTCAAAACTTGCAAGAGTTTCACGGAATCCCATGATTAACGCACCAGAAACGGTGTTTCGGAAGGATTGCGGATTATGCTGGCGCAACAGTTATGTTATGTTGATTCGGCGTGTTGAAGTCCCAAACATGGCGTTCTGGCACGATTCTGGATCGTGAAGTTGCAGCAGTCAGGTTGATACGTGGCGTCCAGGCCCCGAGAACAATGTTTTGACACGCTTCAGGATCTTCAAACTGTTGTCTTCCAACGAGGCAGTTCCCTGAACGGAACTGAACCATTGTAGGGGCCTATGAAGAGGGAGCTTAGAGGGAGGGCTCATTCCAACATCATTGATGACTCTTGGGTTTCCACTGGTCCTCATCCTTATCCTTATCCACATCCTCATCCTCATCTTCACCCTCCTCCTCCTCCTCCTCTTCCTCGTCCTCCTCCTCCTCCTCCTCCTGCTCCTCCTCCTCCTCCCCCTCCTCCTCCTCCTCCTCCTCCTCCTCCTCCTCCTCCTCCGCCTCCTCCTTTCTCCTCCACCTTTTCCCTATATAAATAACGTCTCCCTGTCGGACCCCGAAGCCAGTTTTTAGGGCGGCCCAGGCGTTTCGCCGGAGACCTCCTCACCATTAAAGACCTCCTCACCATTAAATTTGGCAACAATTTCACGGATCAAGGGCGGGTAGTTTTTTTAATGTGACTCTCGCCTCAGCGCCGCGCACGTGATTCCAAAAATTGCTGGAGCTTCATGGGCTGAGGGCGGGTCCTCTTCAAAATGTGGTTCCCGCCTTACCGCCGCGCACAGTCCTTCGGATTGGGGGCGGGTCGTTTTCAAACTGTGGCTCTCGCCTTGGCGCCGCGCAAATTCCTTTTCTAAATTTGCAAGAGCTTCACGGATTGAGGGCGGTGCCTTTTCAAAATTTGGTTCCCGCCTCAGCACTGCGCATACTCATTGATTAGATGTGCAAGAGATTCATGGATTCCCATGATCAAAGTACCAGAAATTGCGTTTTTGAAGGATCCATGATTGTGAGGGGGCAACAGTTACGTTCATTCGCGGTGTTGAAGTCCCAAGAATGGCTTCCTGGCACGATTCAGGATCGTCCAAACGCAACAATCATGTTGATCCGTGGCGTTGGAATCCCGTGAACAATGTTTTGGCATGCTTCAGGGTCTTCGAACGGTTGTCTTCCAACGAGGCAGTTCCCTCAATGGAAATGATCTGCTGTAGGGACCCATGAAGAGGGAGCTTGGAGGGAGGGTTTATCCCAACATCGTTCATGACTCTTGGGTTTACACTGGTCCTCCTAATCAAAAGAAGCAAAGGAGAAACATGCGGGGAAAAAAAGACGATGAAGATGACGACGACGACGACGACGACGACGACGCGGAGGAAGAAGTTGTAGGCTCGGCCCAGGCTCGGCGAGCCCGGGGCGCTCAGATGATCTTCAGCTTCGTCAGCACCAGGTAAGAAACAAAGGAGAAGCCGGTCAGCGCGGTTGTGAGCGTGAAATACCTGTGGAGGAGAAGCGATGGAGAAAGGATGTTGTGGCATCCGAGACCGCCAGCATGCCCGCATGAGGCCCCCAGGGGCTACTCAGAGGCTCCCAAGAGACCCCAAAGAGGTCCCAAAGAGACCTCCAGGGGGTCCCCAAGAGAAGCCCCAAGAGGCTCCAAGAGGCAAGAGGCCTCTTCTCCATGACCCAAGCATGGTGGCGGGTTGCACCGAAGCCCACTAGATCCGCTGCCCCCTGTCGATTCATCGCAGGGGTGCCTGGCGTGCTGAACCCTTTCGGTTTTGGTTTGGTTCTTCTCCAAAAGAACTCCCCCTGGGGCTCCGGCGCGTCCCGCTGGGGTCCCGGGACGATATAGAAGGAGATCAATTATCTTATGTTAGCCCAAGATGACCTCCAAGATGGTCCAAGATGGCCTCCAAGTCCGCCCAAGATGGTCAAAGACGGCCTCCAAGACGGCCCAAGAGAGTCCAAGATACCTCCAAGTTCGCCCAAGAAGCCTCCAAGACGGTCCAAGACGACCCAAGAGGCCTCCAAGAGGTCCTCAAGGAGGGCCCGAAGAGGCCAAAATCATTGTTTGTAAGGTTTTGAAAGATTTTGGCATTCGCTTCTTTTCGGCCTTCCGACGGCTCAAGACGGCCCAAGAGGCCCCCAAGATCGCCCCAAGATCGCCCACGAGGCCTACAAAATGGCCCCATGACGGCCCAAGAGGCCCCCAAGACGGGGCCCCAAGAGGGGCCCAAGACGGGCCAAGAGGCCTCCAAGACACCCAAGATGGCCGCAAAGACGGCCCCGAAGCGCCTCAAGAGGGCCCCCCAAGCCGGTTCAGAGAGGCCCCCAAGACGGCTCCCGACGGCGTCAGACGTGCCAGGAACCCACCAAGATGGCCGAAGTTGGCTCGAAGCTGGCCCAAGACGGCCCAAGAGGCGTCCAAGAGGGTCTCCAGGAAGGCCAGAAAAGGACAAAAACACTTATTGTCCTGAGGTTTTTGAAGGATTGTGGCATTTGCTTTTTGTTCGGCCTTCCGACGGCCCGAGACGGCCCAAGAGCCCCCCAAAGATCGCCCCAAGATCGCCCAAGAGGCCTCCAAGATGGCCCCAGAACGGCCCAAGAGGCCCCCAAGACGGCCCCAAGAGGCCCCCAAGACGGCCCAGGAGGCCTTTAAGACGCCCAAGATGGCCTCCAAGACGGCCCTGGAGCACCCCAAGAGGGCCCCAAGTCGGCCCAGAGAGGCCCCCCAAACAGCTTCCGACGGCGTCAGACGGGCCAGGAGCCCACCAAGACGGCCGAAGATGGCCCTGAGATGGCCCAAGACAGCCCAAGAGGCCTCCAAGAGGGCTTCCAGGAAGGCCCGAAAAGGCCAAATTCATTGATTCCCCATGGGTTTTTGAAGGATTGTGGCATTTGCTTTTTGTTCGGCCTTCCGACGGCCCGAGACGGCCCAAGTGCCCCCAAAGATCGTCCAAGAGGCCCAAGACGGCCCCAAGAGGCCCCCAAGACGGCCCAAGAGGCCCCCAAGACGCTCAAGATGGCCTCCAAGACGGCCCAAGAGCCCTCCAAGACGTCCTCCAAGAAGGCCCGAACGAGTCAAAATGGCCTCCATACGGCCAAGATGACCTTCAAGATGCCCACGTGTTCCCCGAAGGCTTTCCAAACCGATTCGGGGAACACATGGTCCGATAGCTTGGCAGATCTGGCCTCAACGTTCGGCCACATAGGCACTTCCAAAAAAGCAGGGGGCGGCGGTGATTCGCCGTAGGCGTCTTCGATCCGCCGCTCCCTGGGCTTGCCACAAGGGTGCTTGGCGTACCAAATATTAGAGCTCGTTTTGCCTGTCCAAAAACATCTCAATGACTTTCGGCGCAATCCGCCGGCCACCCTCAATAGGCACATCCCGTAGGCTTTTGCGTCCAAGATGGCTCCAAGAGGGTCTCTAAGAGGGCACTGGTCGCCATCAAGCCGGCCAAACCAAGTTGGCCAAAGTTGCCCCCAAGAAAGCTCAAGATGCCTCAAAGAGGGTTGCCACGCCCCAAGAGTGCTCCAGAAAGTCCCCCGGAAGGGCCTCAAGAGGCAGTCATCGTACTTATTCAATTATTTATGAATTGACGCTCTTCTGCCTTAAGAACGTCCACGACGGCCGTAGAGGCCCCCAAGACCAAGAACAGAGAAACAGAAAGAGCCCGCGAATCACCTCCGACACCCCTCCCCCCCTCCCTCATCAAGCACCCGATGATCAGAAAAGGCGTGAACTCGCCCGCGAAATTGTAGTCAACGAGCTCGTCCGGCTCCGCCAGCGCCGCTACTGGCGCAGCCGCCGCCGCGGCCGCGGCGCTGGCGCGCAGGAGCGCCTGCTGCCGCGGCGCCGCCCGCGCAGGGGGGCGGGAAGGCGAAATGTTCTTGTTTTCACTGTCACTGTCGCTGCA